CTTTGTATTTCGTTGCTCTCTTTTTTGATCTAGTTTCTCTCATTTTCTGCCTCCACTTTCCACCGCTAAAATGGCAGAAAACCGTTAAATTCAAATCTGAGATACCAGGCGAACAGAAATCAGCAGAAGGTCGCTGGTTTTTGTTAATTTCTCGTTTTTTCTTGTTTCTCTTTGTATTTCGTTTCTCTCTTTTTTCGATCTAGTTTCTCTAATTTTTGCTTCCACTTTCCACCGCTAAAATGGCAGAAAACCGTTAAATTCAAATCTGAGATACCAGGCGAACAGAAATCAGCAGAAGGTCGCTGGTTTTTGTTAATTTCTCGTTTTTTCTTGTTTCTCTTTGTATTTCGTTTCTCTCTTTTTTCGATCTAGTTTCTCTCATTTTTGCTTCCACTTTCCACCGCTAAAATGGCAGAAAACCGTTAAATTCAAATCTGAGATACCAGGCAAACAGAAATCAGCAGAAGGTCGCTGGTTTTTTTTAATTTCTCGTTTTATCGTGTTTCTCTTTGTATTTCGTTGCTCTCTTTTTTCAATCTAGTTTCTATAATTTTCTGCCTCCACTTTCCACCGCTCAAATGGCAGAAAACCGTTAAATTCAAATCTGAGATACCAGGCGAACAGAAATCAGCAGAAGGTCGCTGGTTTTTTTTAATTTCTCGTTTTATCGTGTTTCTCTTTGTATTTCGTTGCTCTCTTTTTTTAATCTAGTTTCTCTCATTTTCTGCCTCCACTTTCCACCGCTCAAATGGCAGAAAACCGTTAAATTCAAATCTGAGATACCAGGCGAACAGAAATCAGCAGAAGGTCGCTGGTTTTTTTTAATTTCTCGTTTTTTCTTGTTTCTCTTTGTATTTCGTTGCTCTCTTTTTTTGATCTAGTTTCTCTCATTTTCTGCCTCCACTTTCCACCGCTAAAATGGCAGAAAACCGTTAAATTCAAATCTGAGATACCAGGCGAACAGAAATCAGCAGAAGGTCGCTGGTTTTTGTTAATTTCTCGTTTTTTCTTGTTTCTCTTTGTATTTCGTTGCTCTCTTTTTTCGATATAGTTTCTCTCATTTTCTGCTTCCACTTTCCACCGCTAAAATGGCAGAAAACCGTTAAATTCAAATCTGAGATACCAGGCGAACAGAAATCAGCAGAAGGTCGCTGGTTTTTTTTAATTTCTCGTTTTTTCTTGTTTCTCTTTGTATTTCGTTGCTCTCTTTTTTGATCTAGTTTCTCTCATTTTCTGCCTCCACTTTCCACCGCTCAAATGGCAGAAAACCGTTAAATTCAAATCTGAGATACCAGGCGAACAGAAATCAGCAGAAGGTCGCTGGTTTTTTTTAATTTCTCGTTTTTTCTTGTTTCTCTTTGTATTTCGTTGCTCTCTTTTTTTGATCTAGTTTCTCTCATTTTCTGCCTCCACTTTCCACCGCTAAAATGGCAGAAAACCGTTAAATTCAAATCTGAGATACCAGGCGAACAGAAATCAGCAGAAGGTCGCTGGTTTTTTTTAATTTCTCGTTTTTTCTTGTTTCTCTTTGTATTTCGTTGCTCTCTTTTTCGATATAATTTCTCTCATTTTCTGCCTCCACTTTCCACCGCTAAAATGGCAGAAAACCGTTAAATTCAAATCTGAGATACCAGGCGAACAGAAATCAGCAGAAGGTCGCTGGTTTTTTTTAATTTCTCGTTTTTTCTTGTTTCTCTTTGTATTTCGTTTCTCTCTTTTTCGATCTAGTTTCTCTCATTTTCTGCATCCACTTTCCACCGCTCAAATGGCAGAAACCGTTGAATTCAAATCTGAGATACCAGGCGAACAGAAATCAGCAGAAGGTCGCTGGTTTTTTTAATTTCTCGTTTTTCTTGTTTCTCTTTGTATTTCGTTGCTCTCTTTTTTCGATCTAATTTCTCTCATTTTCTGCCTCCACTTTCCACCGCTCAAATGGCAGAAACCGTTGAATTCAAATCTGAGATACCAGGCGAACAGAAATCAGCAGAAGGTCGCTGGTTTTTTTTAATTTCTCGTTTTTCTTGTTTCTCTTTGTATTTCGTTGCTCTCTTTATTCGATCTAGTTTCTCTCATTTTCTGCCTTCACTTTCCACCGCTCAAATGGCAGAAAACCGTTAAATTCAAATCTGAGATACCAGGCGAACAGAAATCAGCAGAAGGTCGCTGGTTTTTTTTAATTTCTCGTTTTTTCTTGTTTCTCTTTGTATTTCGTTGCTCTCTTTTTTTGATCTAGTTTCTCTCATTTTCTGCCTCCACTTTCCACCGCTCAAATGGCAGAAAACCGTTAAATTCAAATCTGAGATACCAGGCGAACAGAAATCAGCAGAAGGTCGCTGGTTTTTTTTAATTTCTCGTTTTTTCTTGTTTCTCTTTGTATTTCGTTGCTCTCTTTTTTTGATCTAGTTTCTCTCATTTTCTGCCTCCACTTTCCACCGCTCAAATGGCAGAAAACCGTTAAATTCGAAACTGTGATACCAGGCGAACAGAAATCAGCAGAAGGTCGCTGGTTTTTTTTAATTTCTCGTTTTTTCTTGTTTCTCTTTGTATTTCGTTGCTCTCTTTTTTCGATCTAGTTTCTCTCATTTTCTGCCTCCACTTTCCACCGCTAAAATGGCAGAAAACCGTTAAATTCAAATCTGAGATACCAGGCGAACAGAAATCAGCAGAAGGTCGCTGGTTTTTTTTAATTTCTCGTTTTTTCTTGTTTCTCTTTGTATTTCGTTGCTCTCTTTTTTCGATCTAGTTTCTCTCATTTTCTGCCTCCACTTTCCACCGCTCAAATGGCAGAAAACCGTTAAATTCAAATCTGAGATACCAGGCGAACAGAAATCAGCAGAAGGTCGCTGGTTTTTTTTAATTTCTCGTTTTTCTTGTTTCTCTTTGTATTTCGTTGCTCTCTTTTTTCGATCTAGTTTCTCTCATTTTCTGCTTCCACTTTCCACCGCTCAAATGGCAGAAAACCGTTAAATTCGAAACTGTGATACCAGGCAAACAGAAATCAGCAGAAGGTCGCTGGTTTTTTTTAATTTCTCGTTTTTTCTTGTTTCTCTTTGTATTTCGTTGCTCTCTTTTTTCGATCTAGTTTCTCTCATTTTCTGCTTCCACTTTCCACCGCTCAAATGGCAGAAAACCGTTAAATTCAAATCTGAGATACCAGGCGAACAGAAATCAGCAGAAGGTCGCTGGTTTTTTTTAATTTCTCGTTTTTTCTTGTTTCTCTTTGTATTTCGTTGCTCTCTTTTTTCGATCTAGTTTCTCTCATTTTCTGCTTCCACTTTCCACCGCTCAAATGGAAGAAAACCGTTAAATTCAAATCTGAGATACCAGGCAAACAGAAATCAGCAGAAGGTCGCTGGTTTTTGTTAATTCCTCGTTTTTTCTTGTTTCTCTTTGTATTTCGTTGCTCTCTTTTTTCGATCTAGTTTCTCTCATTTTCTGCTTCCACTTTCCACCGCTCAAATGGCAGAAAACCGTTAAATTCGAAACTGTGATACCAGGCAAACAGAAATCAGCAGAAGGTCGCTGGTTTTTGTTAATTCCTCGTTTTTTCTTGTTTCTCTTTGTATTTCGTTGCTCTCTTTTTTCGATCTAGTTTCTCTCATTTTCTGCTTCCACTTTCCACCGCTCAAATGGCAGAAAACCGTTAAATTCGAAACTGTGATACCAGGCAAACAGAAATCAGCAGAAGGTCGCTGGTTTTTGTTAATTCCTCGTTTTTTCTTGTTTCTCTTTGTATTTCGTTGCTCTCTTTTTTCGATCTAGTTTCTCTCATTTTCTGCTTCCACTTTCCACCGCTCAAATGGCAGAAAACCGTTAAATTCGAAACTGTGATACCAGGCGAACAGAAATCAGCAGAAGGTCGCTGGTTTTTTTTAATTTCTCTTTTTTTCTTGTTTCTCTTTGTATTTCGTTGCTCTCTTGTGTCGATCTAGTTTCTCTCATTTTCTGCTTCCACTTTCCAGCGCTCAAATGGCAGAAAACCGTTAAATTCGAAACTGTGATACCAGGCGAACAGAAATCAGCAGAAGGTCGCTGGTTTTTTTTAATTTCTCGTTTTTTCTTGTTTCTCTTTGTATTTCGTTGCTCTCTTTTTTCGATCTAGTTTCTCTCATTTTCTGCTTCCACTTTCCACCGCTCAAATGGCAGAAAACCGTTAAATTCAAATCTGAGATACCAGGCGAACAGAAAACAGCAGAAGGTCGCTGGTTTTTTTAATTTCTCGTTTTTTCGTGTTTCTCTTTGTATTTCGTTGCTCTCTTGTGTCGATCTAATTTCTCTCATTTTCTGCCTCCACTTTCCACCGCTCAAATGGCAGAAAACCGTTAAATTAGGAGCTGTGATACCAGGCGAACAGAAATCAGCAGAAGGTCGCTGGTTTTTTTTAATTTCAGAAAATGAGAGAATTTCAATCGAAAAAAGAGAGCAACGATGTACAAAGAGGAAAAAGAAAAAACGAGAAATTAAAAAAAAACCAGCGACCTGGTATCTCAGATTGGAATTTAACGGTTTTCTGCCATAAATTTATATAAATTTATTGACAAAGTTGCAAAGTCGAAAGCCGACGGCACAATATGTACTTTATAAAAGAAACCTGCCTAAATTAGCGATATGTACATACATATGTATTTATACATATGTAAATATGCAATTTAAAAAAAAATCAAACAAATAACATTTTTTTATTTTTATTATTATATATTGTATTTATTTCCCACCACCACCCACTCTGCTCATACATCTACACGATTGTATTTACCCTACATGTAGTATTTCAGTACCGGTGTTAAATAGTTTGGCACAATTAAATTCAAACTGGAAATTAAACGTTTTAAGCTCATTCGAGAACGATTTTCAACGATATGGCAACGCTGTCAAATAAAAGCTGATGTTTAACGACTTTCAATGTTTAGCCGCGAAATTCAATACTCAAAATATCCAGACCACCCCCCAGAATAATCATATTTCGTAGAACAAACAAATGACAGAATAGTAGACAGGAATTGTTTAAACACACATTTTTAATGTATTGTGCAAAAGTTAAAAGTACTTAATCATACATTTCTACATAAACAGAATACATATACGTATATTAAAAGCATAAATCATCTTCGTTACTGTACGTATATATAAAATATATCAAATGCCTCAAAGTAACAAAAATTTTCGAAAAAGAAACAAAGGAAACGTTAATTACACTCTGTAGGTAATAGTATATAGATAGATAGAAATGTGGTGAAATGTTCATAGCAAAAGCTGCAAAGTAATCCAAAAATATCTGTATTTCAATTTAAATTGAGGATTTAGCAATCACATTGCTGGCACTTGTTACGTTGAAGCAAATTCCTTTTTGTTTCTAAAGCATTTTCTTGTTTAATTACATACACACGAAATTATTTGGGCTGCCGATATTGTGGGATGGGCAGACAGAATCTACTTGGGGGCCAGGCTGAGTTTTCCCAGCAGCTGGGTAGCCTGCTGTCCGGCGCTCTCCTGGGCGTGGCTGGCGGCCTCTTGGAAACTTTTCTCAGCTGCTCCGCGCTTCTGATCAACGTACTGGTTGGCCTCGGTCAGCTTCTGGTCCACCGCCTGGCTAGTCTGCTTGAGCGCCCCATCGATGGCACCCTCAGCCTGCTTCAGCTTCTGGTCGGCCACGGTCTCGGCGGCCTTGACGCTCTTGTTGATGGCGTCGTTTGCTGCCTTCTTGGTCTGATCCACGGCATTGGCGGCTGCGCGCTGCGAAGCATCGGCAATGTTGGCTGCCACCTGCTTGGAGTTCTGGGCGGCGGCACTTGCCTGCTGGACGGTGTTATCCACAGCCTGCTTGGTCTGGTTGACAGCTCCAGCAGCGCGATTGACACCCTGATCGATCGCCTGTCCAGCCTTCTGGGCCTCGGCGGTGGCCAGAGCGGCAGCATCCTTGGCTAAGAAAAAGTATTGTTAGCAGGAGATCTGCATTAAAAAAAGTAATTTAAAAGTTACCTGTGCTCGTGGCCAACTGCTCGGCCTCGTTCTTCGTCTGCTGCACGGACTGACCAACCTTCTTGGCCTGCTCCTCCGCTAGCTTCTGAGCCTCGACAGCCTTGTCGTTGGCCAATTTCTCAGCCTCATCCTTCTTCTTGCTGAACAGACTGGCGGTCTTGTCGCCAATGCTCTTCAACGAGGCTGTGAAGAGATCGAGAAAGTTACGATTACGAACAGCCAATGCAGAATGGAACTAGATTTGAATTGTACTTTGATTTTGGCGACTAGGAAACATGCTGAGAGGCCTTCTAAATGAAAACTAAGCTCTGAACTGTCGCCAATTATAATTTATAGCCTGATTCTAATCAGATTACAGATCCGATGTTTGTGATTCCAGGTTCAAGATTCCAGATTTCAGATTCCAGACTGGTAATTGCCGAAACTTAAACAAAGCAAAGCTATTTTTAAGTCGAGCATGAACGATTTCCATGACCGACTACCAATCCGAATCGATTACGTTATTACGATTTACTCGCAGTCTACGAGTGACAGTTTGCTTCAGTAATGCGCACTTTGCGGCATGTCGTCAATTTTAAATTTTAAAACACATCAGTCAGCACCACGAATTCATATTTTGTAATTTAATAGAAATTAACAAGCGGCAACACTTTTAGCTGTCGCTGTCCCCCGAATGCATTCCATTCACATCAAATGACGTGTGCGTTCACTGAAATAGAAACATTGTGCCATTATAGTACGAGTAGTCTGTGGCCTGTAGTCTGAACCGCAAACGGAAGCCTTCCTCTGGCTCGTACAAGAGAATTCCTTTGTCTATGTACTGGTTCTACATACATATGTATATGCATTATCGTATTAAAAGAAAACAAAACACAAATATTTGAATAATTCAAAGTATGTGATGTCATAATGGTGGTCCGTTAAATGATTTCGCCTTCGGTTCTGAAACTATTCTTCACGCTTTGTGCTTGCGATTTTGGTTCGGTTCGGTTCGGTTCAGGAATGTGTTTATACTCGTAGATGGGCCAATTCAATTATTTCCACCCTCAACAGAGATACTTTAATGGCTTCTCTCTCACTTTTGCCACTCGGTTAATTTCCACATAATTTAGATTTTGGGGCGCTTTCAATAAGCATCTAATGATCAACACGCTCCCAAGGAGGCTGAAAATTGTGCGAAAAGTTTTGGCTTTGGCATAATTTCAGAGGAGCAAGCTGTAAGCGTGGGGATGGTGTCCAAATTTCAACTCAGAATGGGTTTAATTTTAATAAAACGAACGGGGTGGCATTGAGCGAAATTAAGATACAGTAAAATATCTAAAGATTACGAGAAGAAAAGTGCGTGCATTTCTCATCTATTATACTCATAACTAATTAAGATAAATTGAGGGATTATATAGCCGATGGGTCATGCGTTTTTCGATGCTAGGTTTGGGATTAAATATTAAATTCAAATTTAAATATGCAAAGTGTGCTCTTAATTTAAAACGCAATAAATATATTAAGGCAACAAAATCGAATAGTTTCTGACTCTTGGCAAAGAAATTTGTATTCGCTGCAGCCACTCACATATTTTCATACGTAGAACTCACACTCTGTCGGTCTCAACATTTGCGTAATACTCCGCCTTTACGATACATTTTATTGTTGTGCTTTGGGTTGGATACTGTGGCAGTATGTGGTCAATATATGTATGAAAGAATATATATAAAAAACCGGCTAGAACGGCAGAAACGAACAGCATAGCCCAGGGCCCAGGGGCAATGCCATGAGCCATGCTAACAGACTCTCACAGCCTCACAGATGTGGCTTTTGGTTTGGTTTTGTTTTGTTGTTGATGTTCTCGTACCGCAGATAATGCGCAGAAGCTTTATTATAGTGGAAAACCTGTAGTTGGCTACGAGCGCACACTCAAGCGCAACCCAAACGAATACATAGACATAGACATATACAGATGCCAGTGAATACGAGTATCTATGAGTAACTGCGATTTGAGGTCTGCGGAATCACGTTCCACACCAGTTCTGGATGCCTAAAAAAGAGTAGTGTAGTCCCGTCCCAGATCCGCTCCAAGCATACGAATCGATGAAGCTCGCTGCTGTTGGTGGTGGTGCTGCTGCTGCTGATGTTTTTGTTTTTGTTGTTGATGATGTCATGTCGGGGATACAAACACAAATCGAGATACAGATACATGGATAAGTTTTCAGATACAAACACTAGCGGCGAACGGAATTCGCACGCCCAATCAATTGTTGGGCGCCGCAAGGCGTCATCCACATTGTCGAAGGTCGTCTACGTCAGTCGGGGACAACAGCTGGCAACAGGGCCAAACGAAGTGTGTCCTGGCTGGCTCAGGATTCCCAGGGACAATTGACGGCTGATGTCATGGCCCCGAAAAGCTACGGTACGAGTAAATCAATAAACCAGCCAAGGGCCAAGGGCCAAGAGCCAAGGGCAACGAAAACTCTTTTGGATGAGTAATGCGAGTAGCATGACTCTGAAGTCATTTGAGTACGGGAAGGGAATCATCTCACGTCACTTGTTCTCCTCAACGGTGGATGGGTGGGATTCTATTACGAACAGTTCTCTCAGTTCTCATGAGCAGCACTTCAAGTTGGCCAGCGGTCTCGAGTGTCGCACAACGAATACTCTCAATTGAATTGACTGACCCTAAACCTGACCCACAAACGAGGCAGCAAATTAGGCCGCGACATTGCCCCATGCAATGTACGTAAGCAATCTTAACGGAGCATGGGTGGGTGAAGGTAATTGAATTACGCTGGCCATTAGGGGGCCTCGGCAAGTGCAGCAGCCAGATAAGACTGCAAATTGATTGGCTGCATGGCGAATGCATTCCGGGTATGCTCCACGCTAGGGGAGGATATAAGTACAGGAGGGCGGCCAGCGGCCAGAGCACAGTGACTAGGGCGCCGAGGAAGGTCTCCCTTCCTTCTAGACATGAAGCATCTACTGACTGCACTCGTGGTTGTGCTGAGTGCCACCCTTCCCGGGGAGCAGGTCCTGGGCTCGGCCACCGGCTGCAGCCGCCGCTATCTGAGGCGGATCAATGGCAAGTGCTACTACTTTTCCGTGAAGAAGGTAAGAAGGCAATATGGAGCGCCAGAGACCACCGCTTACCCACCACTTAACTATCCCATGCGATCCATCCACAGATGAACTGGCATGGCGCACTGAACAATTGCCTGCGCAAGGGCCTGACTCTGGCCGATCTGAGCAACCCAAGAGATTTCTATGGAGCCATCGACTTCCTCAGCTCCAAGGGCAACACGGAGGACTTCTGGTTCGGGGGCAACGACCTGCAGCACGAGGGCCGCTTCCAATACATCAGCAACGGGCGCCTGGTGCGCTTCTTCAGCAACTACAGCATCGTGGAGCCCGCGGAGCACTCGGAGTGCGACGATTGCCTGGAGGTGCGCATCCGCTCAAACATGACAGTGGTGGCCGACGACAACTGCCTGGAGCGGCAGTACTTCATCTGCTCGGAGCGCTACTGCGAGGGCACAGGCGACGCGGCCAAGCCGAAACATCACAGCCACGAGCATCTGCATCACTTCCATCACGACATTGGCGACAGCGCCGGCGACGACGAGGTGGATGCCAACGATACCCCGCCCATTGGCAGCGGCTCGGGAGAGAATGCCGGCAGCGACTCGGAGGGTGCTGTCGAGTTTGCAGACCTGCCCGACGACCTCCAAGCTTCTTCTCCCACGCCGATGCAGGAGATGCCTTCAGATGCAGAATTACCACCGGGCGGCCAGCCTCCACCATGGGGCGGAGCTGAAGCTCACACCGAAGCATCCCCTGCATCTGAAGAGGTAATGCAGCCAGGGGACATGGCCGAGGGGCGTACTACGTCATCAGGCGGCGAAGATCAGGAAACAGGCGCTGGACCAAGCACTCCAGCGGGCGAAGGAGAAGGTACTACAGCGGCAGAAGGTGCACTTACTACGCCAGCAGCCGGAGGGGAAGAAAAAATAGCCGGAGAAGGCGGAGAAACTAAACCCGGAGAAGGCGGAGAAACTAAACCCGGAGAAGGCGGAGAAACTCCGGCGGGAGAAGGCGGAGTAACTGCTACGGGAGAAGGTGGAGCAACTCCTGCCGGAGAAGGCGGAGCCACTCCTGCGGGAGAAGGTGGAGACACTCCTGCGGGAGAAGGCGGAGCCACTCCTGCGGGTGAAGGCGAACCCACGAAAGCGGCTGATGGAGAACCTACAACAGTGGGAGAAGGCGGTGTAACTCCAGCGGGAGAAGGTGGAGAAACTGCTGCAGGAGAAGGTGGAGAAACTCCTGCGGGAGAAGGCGGAGCCACTCCTGCGGGTGAAGGCGGAGAAACACCTGCCGGAGAAGGCGGAGCAACTGCTGCGGGAGAAGGTGGAGAAACTCCTGCGGGAGAAGGTGGAGCCACTCCTGCCGGAGAAGGTGGAGAAACTGCTGCAGGAGAAGGCGGAGAAACTGCTGCGGGAGAAGGCGGAGCCACTCCTGCGGGAGAAGGTGGAGAAACTCCTGCGGGAGAAGGCGGAGCCACTCCTGCGGGAGAAGGTGGAGAAACTCCTGCAGGAGAAGGCGGAGCAGCTCCTGCGGGAGAAGGCGGAGCAGCACCTGCGGCCGAAGGAGAAGCAACGCCAGCAGCCGAAGGAGAAGCCAAGCCAGCGGCCGAAGGAGAAGCCACGCCAGCGGCCGAAGGAGAAGCTGCAGAGGCGCCGCCTGCTGAAGGCCCAGCAGCACGAGCACCCCTAGCAGCGATGCATCACATAATCTAATATAAATTCAGTTCTGTTCTATTAAATCATTCTAAAATAAAATCCAAAATCCTTGAGCCAAAGTACTTCATGTGAACCCTGTGTCTATGGCTGATCTTGGGGAAAAGATCTTGCAAAAAGACTGCTTAGAAATATCTGTTAAATCAATGAAATGGAATACCAGTAGGAGACAGTAGTAGGAGACAGTGTTAGGAGACTGTAGGAGCATCTATGATCATCATTGAGTGTTGGAATCACAAAATAAAACAATGAACAATGCAATTGGATATAGTTTGAGAGAGTTTAATGCGAGTTTAATGTTTCCGCATGGAATAAAATCTTTTCTTCGCTTCCATTTATTCTGCAGATTGTATGCGTATTTTAAGGCACTTTTAGAGAAGTTCTTTCAGCATTCTTATTTGATATTTCCAAGAAAACTCTCCGCAGACAGCAGCATCTCCATAGAGTATTCAACTCAGATTGATGTGAATGGCAGCGGGGACCGAGTGACCCCTTGAACCACGGAACCACTGAGGGTCGGCACGTCCAATTGCATTTGATCGATTCGCTCGACATGCGATATCAAGCGGAATGGTCGTAGGACCCAATCAAAGTGACAGTTTCCGATTCGCAGCTAATGCTGCGGGTCACGGCCTCAAGAGGGTATAAATAGAACAGGAGTCGGCACGCAAGTGTACAGTTTGGATGGACAGGCGGCAGATGCAGCCATGAGGATTCTTCAAATTGTGATACTGACCTTGATCGTTGCCTATCCCGATCAAGTTCTGTGCGGCAGCAAGCGCACCAAGGACAAGAAAGCGTCTCATAAGGGTCCTTGCGGGAAGCCCTATCTGAGGCAGCTGAATGGAAGATGCTACTACTTCGCCGTCAAGAAGGTGAGTGAGCGGAGCTTCGGGGGAAGATTAGTGACTCAGTGCATGTGCATCCAATCCGCAGATGAACTGGTTTGGCGCCCAAAACAATTGCCTGCGTAAGGGTCTCAATCTGGCGGATCTGGGCAGTCCGGAGGACTACAAAGCGGTGCTCAGCTTCCTGAATACGCGTGGCAACATGGAGGACTACTGGTTCGGGGGCAACGACCTGCAGGCGGAGGGTCGATTCACCTACATCAGCAATGGCCGTATGGTCCGCTATCTGGGGGACAAGGGCATGGTGGAGCCGACGCATCGCTCCAATCTGGACGACTGTCTGGAGGTGAGGCTGCGCGTGAACAACACCGTGGTCACCGACGACAACTGCCTCGAGAAGCAGTACTTTATCTGCGAGAAATCCGCCCAGAAGTGCGCCCAGCCAACGAGAGATGCGGACCCCAATACACAGCACAGCCACGAGCACTTGCATCACTTCCACCACGACCCAGCAAAAGGAGACAAGCAGGGAGGGAGCGTTCAGGAAGGTATGGAAAGCGATTCGCGGCCGATTGATAATACGAATTCAGCGGAGGTTGGGGAAACGAGCGCTGAGGCGGCGGCGGAGGAGGAGCTTGGAAAAGAGCCAGAAGATACGAATGTCCCGGCACCTGAGGTCCCAGAGGAGGAACAGATCGACGAGGGTCCGACCGGCGATGAAGCTGAAAAAGAAGCCCCTTCGTCTGAAGATGCCGAACTTGCTGGCGGAAGTGAATCTCCAGCGGGTGATGAGAAGTCGTCGCCGGAGGGTGAAACCCCAAGTCCCGAGGGTGAAGTTGAGGGTATTTCCAGCGTCCAGCCTGAAGGTTCTGAAGCCACAGCCCTCGGTGCAGTCGAGGGTGGTGCGAGCGCCCAGCCTGAAGGTGCCGAAACTACAGCCGCTGGCCCAGTCGAGGGTGGTGCGAGTGCCCAGCCTGAAGGTGCCGCAACCACAGGCGCAGGTCCAATCGAGGGTGGTGCGAGTGCCCAGCCTGAAGGTGCCGCAACCACAGGCGCAGCTCCAATCGAGGGTGGTGCGAGTGCCCAACCTGAAGGTTCTGAAACCCCAGCCCCCGGTGCAGTCGAGGGTGGTGCGAGTGCCCAGCCGGAAGGTGCCGAAACCACAGCCGCCGGTGCAGTCGAGGGCGAGGGTGGTGCGAGTGCCCAGCCGGAAGGTGGCGAAACCACACCCGCTGGTGCAGTCGAGGGTGGTGCGAGTGCCCAGCCTGAGGGTGCCGAAACCACAGCCGCCGCTGGTGAAGCTGAAGCAGGAGGTGGTGCCGAAACCACAGCTGCCGCTGGTGAAGCTGAGGCAGGAGGTGGTGCCGAAACCACAGCTGCCGCCGGTGAAGCTGAGGCAGGAGGTGGCGCCGAAACAACTGCAGCTGCCGGTGAAGCTGAAGCAGGAGGTGGCGCCGAAACAACTGCAGCCGCCGGTGAAGCTGAAGCAGGAGGTGGCGCCGAAACAACTGCAGCCGCCGGTGAAGCTGAAGCAGGAGGTGGTGCCGAAACCACTGCTGCCGCCGGTGAAGCTGAGGGTGGTGCGGGCGCCCAGCCTGAAGGCGCCGAAACCACTGCCGCCGTGGAAGGCGATGTAGCGAAACCGGAAGGGGCAGAGGAAACGACTGTAGCAGCTGCATAAAACCCCAATCCCGATCCCCAGACCACACCCCCGCCCAGCCACGGAACCACTGAAGCGAATGTCTAGTAATCTAAGTGATCGATGAATATACATACAAATATGATTGAGTTTTCAAAGGAATAAAGTGAGGCAAGCGAGAGAGCGAGCGAGCGAGAGAGAGAGAGAGAGATTGCAGCTTGCAACTGATCTTGAGGTGGGGATCGGGAGGAAGGTGTTCGCGCTGTGGGAGGATGGGCAGGTGCTGCAGGGTTGCATTGGAGGAATGTTTCGTGTGGCATGCAGTAGTACGAGTATTTGGGGGTGTTGGAATGCAACTACCGAGCTATGAACTATTGAACTAAACTACGACGCAGTCGGTGAGGGATGTCTAGAGTCTAGAGTCTAGACATGATCTAAATTATCAACTAAGTTCTTGGCATTGTGTAATGTTCGAGAGTTGGAGAGATCAAGAGAGATCGATAGATCGGGCGCTACTTACATTTCGATGCATCTGTTTTTGCATTGAGTGGGAGCAGATAATATTTATAAATACAAATTTATATATTGTATATATGTATGAAGGAAATACATATACATGCGTATACGATAATATATTATGTACTGGCCAAAAGACACAAACCAATTCTTTTCTTTTCTATTTTGTTTCTTCTTGTTCTCAAGTGGAATCTTTTGAATAATTATTAAATAAAAAAAAAGAGAAGGAACGTGTGAGTCGCTTCTGGGGACGCGACTCTACTTATACCCGTACTCAGTCAGTATATACATTTTTGAGCTTATGATTTTTTAGAATTTTAGAATTAAAATTTTTTTAGCATTTTTTTGCTACATCTGTTATTTACATCTACATCTACAATGTCAGAGTCTCTGGCAGGGGGAGGCGGAGGGAAAAACTGAAAATGAATTTCTTCATTCTGGCTATAATTATGATCCGATCTGATTCAGATTCGGCAATCTGGTAGATATGGGCATTCTCTACGATACTGCGCTTTTAGTTTTATCGCATCTTTAAAAATGTGCCTGCCACAGATTTTTGTTCTTTGTGGGGGCGGAAGGGGGCGGGAAAAATTTTAAAATACACTTGTAGCAGTGTGATATCACATGAGCCTGGAAACCAAATTTGGTTTCCCTACCTCTTATAGTCTCTGAGATCCAGGGGTTCATCGAGACGGACAGACAGACAGACGGACAGACATGACTATATCGACTCGGCTATTGATGCTGATCAAGAATATATATACTTTATGGGGTCGGAAACGTTTCCTTCTCTGCGTTACACACATCCACTTTTACCACAAATCTAATATACCCCTTAACTCTTTTTTGAGTACGGGTATAAAAACAAAAAACGGAAACAGACATACACATTAACATGTTCCACTTGTCTTTGATTTTGATTTGATTTTTTTTGCACCCACTTCAAAGAACATAAATATTGAATCCATTTGCACAGATACATGTACATATATATGTATATAAATTCCAAAAGAAATCTCATAAAACATAACTAAAAACTGCCCCGACAGATACAAAGTATATGTATATATTAGCCTATAGATGGAACAGTCTTTGCATGTATCTGGGCAGCTATAATTATATGTTTGTATGTATGTATGTATCATCGTTTTGGGTGTGGGTTGTGTCTGAGCGAAGAGCAACTTATAGTTCTCAAGGGGCTGCATATAAACTGCGCCATAATTGGCTTACGTATCATCCACATCCACGTCGTATCGTCATCATCATCATCATCATCACAAGAGCCAAGCCACGGTAGCGGGACAATTAAATTTTTGTTTTTGCTACTGCTATCGGATCGAACACGCCCCAAGCCCCACCCACCCACACATATGTGTTCCCATACCCACATAGATCCCAGCGGCCACACAGCTCCAACTCCTTGGTGATGATGTAATTTTTAGTCACTTTTTCCTCCTCCGCTTGGAATGGAATGCGGGTCATAGGTTAACTTAACCCTGGTCTGTTGTCTCACCATTCAAATTAATTCACTCCACACACATACATACATACATACATTTTCGTATATTTAGAAACGTAGAAACATACATATATATATACATACTTATATATGCATGTGTGTATATGCAGTCGTACATATACTATAACAACTTTGGATTTCTAATTTGGCAACTTTCACAGCCATTCAAATGGAGTTTCCTTTACCTGAAATCGAGCTGAACATGTTGGATTCTTTTGCTGTGTGATTTGGTTTTTAAGTCGGAATTAATTAGTTGCCTCGCTTTGGCTTCTATTTGATCGAATTCGGTATTGTATAGTTTTATTTGCGGTCAACGATATTTTTGGAATTTGGTGCCGAAGCGCGTTTATTTTTACACCGTCCGTATTCGACGAGAGCCACTATTTTCTGTTGTGCTGCTAGCTGTTTACTCTCTATCTTGCCGTTTTGAAATGTGCCGCCATCTCTAAATGCAAGTAAATCTAGCTGGATTTGTTGAGTGTGTCCTAGAGGTGTCAAACCATTTGAAGGCACTATCGATAGTATCGATATTTTACTACTAGCCTCTACCACTAACCAGGTCCCAGCACCCATCATCAATCAATCATCATTTTTTCACGGCAGTTCCTTCTCTTTTCATTTGAAATAAAAACTTATAAATTTAATGTTTGTTTGATTAATTTGTATGTTTATCAGTGGCTATTATATTTTTTATCCATTATTTGGAGTTTTGTTTTTTACGAAACAAAAGATACTATTACGATAGTATCGATTGTTTTTTTCAAACGTTTATATTCCTCGATTTTGATATTCCGTTTAATATTACTAGCTAGCTGAGACTCTCAGCCCTAAATAAATAATTTTATCCGATAGATACATAAATTTTTTACAAGATTAGCAGGTTTTCAGAAGTCCTTTTTATTGGATTATTTACATATTAAGGTTCACACAAAAACAACATAAAACGAATGTGACGTCGTATTGTAGCGTTGCCAGACTCGTGCTGCCATACCATGATATTTTGTGATTTTTGCCCACAACATAAGTTTGAAAACTTAACATAACATAAGTTCGAAAACATATTTAACAGGCCAAAAAAAAAACTCATCAAAAATGAAGAAGAAGAAAAAACTCGCCAAAAAGGAAGAAGAAGAGAAAAAAACTCATCAAAAATGAAGAAGAAGAGAAAAAAAACTCGTCATGCCGGCGAGCTTTTGTCAGTAACCGTTCGAAGCGTTGCCAGACTGTCAGACGTTGCCAGATCCAGCGAAGCTGGATTTAAAACAACTCCACGAAAGAATTTGCTTTCTGTTGTCAATTCTAAATATTTTTAACTCCTTTCCAGCCATTGCAGAGTGGCCGGAATTCAGAAATCAGAGAATATCAGCAGTTTCTGCAATTAAATTAGTCATGGCTGGGCTAGAAGAACCATGTCGAATATGGAATATACTTAAGCGTTACGCTTTCTTAAAGATCTAGTACATAAATTCATTGCGCCAAGTGACAAGTGACCTGTACTGATTTACAAAAATGTTCCTCCTGTTTTGTGTTTATTTGCTGCTGCTGCTGCTTGAAAACTCCCTTGGCCTCGCCCCCAGTGGCTACCGTCCGGTAAGTAGTGCGTCTTAATTAATGAATACACATTTTAATCATTTACTTTGCTCCCAAGTGGGGACCGCCCACATATAAGAATTTTTTCAAAGGCCCACATCGAGTGTTTGGCAACGAAACTGATGATCCTCAGGATTTTCTCGATGTCCATCAATTTAAGTTCAGTTCTTACCCACGCCGAATTCAGAGACATATGTGATTAAGATCTTGTTTATTAAATGACTCTGCTACAATCTACGGCATATATAAAACAGTCTAAGGACTAAGGGCAGTAACTCTAAGATTAGCAATTGCCTGTGCAATCGCCTATGTATCAAACAAACACTTAGGACTATGTACAGATAGATGTTACAAAGGAATTGTGTGGTATGGCAATGGGTGTGGTGTCCTGTGTCCTGTTGGATCCTACTTGTTGAAGTTCTCGATCTGCTGGAGGACCCAGCTGCGCGATGCCGACTGACAGACGATGACTCCTCTTTTGAGCTGGTGCTGGTGGGCCAGCAGTTCCTGCACGGCCTCCCTCGATGGTTTTGGCGCTATCTGCGGTGGTGGGGAGGGGCGTGGCCCGAGCGGAGGCGGCGGAGGAGGACTGCTGGGTCGCCTGAGGTCTCTCTCGTTGTCGTCGCTGTAAATGGCCGAGTCGCGGAAGTCGTTCTCCAGACTGTCCTCCACCTGCCGCTCGTACTCGAAGTTGGTGGGCAGCGGATCCGCCACGGACCGCTTGCGCTGCTGCTCGCACATGCTGTCGCTGGAGGAGGAGGTGAGCGAGAAGACCGAGTCCCGCTCCGAGCTGACCATGGCCATCAGGCTGAACAGGGTCTTGGGGTCCGCGTAGTCGACGTGGGCCATGCGCTCGCCCAATGCCTCGCTGCCCTGCCGATGCAGCACGCTCTGGCGGCACATCTCGCTAACATCGGAGACGCGTCGCTCCGGCGGGCGGTTGGAGCGGCCAAAGGCCAGGGTCAGGTTGTCGATGGACTTGAGGGCACGCGGCAGCAGGGAGCTCTCCGAATTGGACACGTTCTCGTGGCTGGGGCCACCCTCGCCGTTGACGCTGCTCAGCAGGCGCTTCACTAGGTTCTTTGGTATGGGGCGGGCGTAGAGGGCGGTCGTTGGATCCTCCAGGCACAGATTGATCACCGTACTCTGGCTGTCGCGTTTCAGGGTGGAGCCGGAGGAGGAGCTGGAACTGGTGGCATCCGAGCTGCAGCTGTCCCGTTGCACTGCCTCCTCGCCCACCCTCTGGAGCACGCCCTCCGGCGAGTAGACCAGAGTCACGTAATCCGACTCTGGACGCGGGCCGCCCGACGCGGACTTGCTTCGCTTCTTCAGCATCTGAGCGGACTTGGCGCGTCCCAGGACGGGGGAGAACTTGTACGGGACGTGGACGTTGCGTAGCAGCGTCTCGTAGATGGGCTCCTCGTGCTCGCTGGCCTGCCGCTTGGCTTGATCCTCCAGCTCCAGCTCCAGGGGCGGAGGCGAGCGAGACGGTGGGCGTGGCGGCAGGGCAGGCACTCGATTGAGATCCTGGCTGGGCGACAATGGACTGATGGGACTGACGGGACTCTCGCGTCGCTTCTGCTGCTTGTTGTAGATGCGCTCGAACTCCTTGGTGTTCTTGAGAAGATCGAGCACAATCTGGGCATCACGCTTGGACTTCTCCGCGGGCGACAGCAGCTCCTGGTTGCCATAATACTGATCCTGATCGTGGTCCCGATCGTGGTCCACCACATCGGACGGCGGCTCGTTCAACGTCCTCCTCCGCCTCCTTGGCCATTTCTATGTCCTGCTCTGGCCGCAGCTCCTCCGTGGACTCGGTTATCTTCAGGACGGTGGAACTGCTGCTGTCGAACTCGCTGAGATCCATGTAGAACTTGGAGCAGCTCTTGCTGCTGGTGCGCTGCTTCTTCAGTGTGGCTATCCGCTTGGGCATGGTCTTGTGGTTGTATTGCTTCACCTCGAAGAAGCCCCTGGCCTTGGCTTTGCGTTCGCTCAGATCGGGCTTGCTGCCCCTCAACGAGGCGGCGCTGTCATCGTCGTGCTCCTGCTCCTGTTCCAGATCCTGCTCTGCCTCCTCGTCCAGGCTGAAGCCACCGATGCGTGGCACGGACTTGCTGCGCTCCTTGAGCGCCTTGTAGCTAAACACTGGCGACTGCGACTTGGCGCTGCGACTGCGCTGATCCCGCAAAATGCAGAGACACTGATCCGCCCGCTCCGGGTGATCCTCCTGCCGACTGCACTTGCACGCCTCCTTGGACTGGGACTTTATCTCATCCTTGCCGGATCCAGATGCAGCTCCATCCCGCTTGCGGTACCGCATCGCGGCGGCAAGCTTCTGTAGGGCCGTGTCGTCCAGGCTGTTGTTGCGGGACAGCGGCTTGGCGGGCTTTGAGGCCTTGGGCTCCTGCTCCTGGCTCTGGCTCTGGTTTGGGTCCAGCTCCTGCGACTCATTGAAGGAGCTGTCGAAGGAGGTGGAGTTGCTCACCGTCTTGCGCTTGCCCTTGGAGTTGCGCTGTCGGATCTCGCTCCGGCGACAGGCATTGCGACGCTCCAGATACGTGGGCGTGGAGTTGCTGCTGGAGTGCAGGCTCCACTTCCAGGTGCTGCGGTCTGGGGTGCGATCTGCGGGAGAGCCTTCGTTAGTCAATGGGTTAAACTGAACGCAGGACGTGATGGGCGGGTGGCAGTGAGAGCGGGCGTGGGACAAGCAACAGTGAGGGGGAGGGGTTTGATTCTGGCAGTCCATGCAGTCAGTGACTTGGATTAGACTAGAGTTAAGTGGGTTCGATTCGAATGTGGGTTAGGATGCATGCAACATACAGACCCGACCCCGAGCGTGTTAAGTTCCAATTCCAATTAAAGCTAACACAGCCAACTAGAAATACGAATCTCGTGATACTTACTGGGCTCTCGATACCAGCAACGATAAGCGATAAACGATAAACGACCATAAACGGTACCGATTACTACGATTACGATTACGACTAACGATTACAGTTAGGATGGTTAAACAGTATGTACTGGGTTTTGTTTTTCGGATTCATAGTTATAGATTATAGCAGTTGGTTTGGTTGTCAATTCAATTTAGTTCTGATCGCATTTGGTGTGTTGTAGTAGTAGGAAATTACGAGTAGATAGCGGCTAGATCAGTTTTCAGTTTTCGGTTTTTCGGTTTTCGGTTTTCAGTCTCGGGGTGGGGGGGTTTTAGCCATAGAACACACCCTTAAAAACTAATCAAAGTTTTCTTTTCTTTGTTTTGGGATGTTTAGTTTTAGAATGCATCACTGGTAGTACTACAACGGTAAACATATGGCATTTGTATAGAGTGGGGTTAATTCAGATCGACATAAATACGAGTAGTAGCCACCCTCAACTAACTAACTTACTAACTAACTAACTAACTAACTAATTAGTATTAATGTACGACACCAAAAAACAAAAGTACATTTACATTATGCATCATATGATGTGGACCGAAACAGCTGACGATCTTTACACAGTCTATTTGCTGATGAGGTAGGTACAGTAGTGCCCGGGAAATTTGCAATTAAAATGTGCCTACATCGGGGCAGAAATAAATAATAAATCAACTTGCCGCCGAGGCGTCGACAGATTTGGCACGATTTTTGGGGGAAAGGCAACAGGGCCAACAGACACACAGACACAGACAGAGACAGAGACAGAGACGGAGCACAGCGGAGAGATCTCTGCTGCTAACGACGACTCTCCTGCCACTTGGTTATGTCACTTTAGCTGGAGCGTGCGAATCATAAGTGCACAGCGAGAAAGGAACAGACACTTGATGGCTATGGCTGGACTTGCGCAGTGCAGTGCAGGCGCAAGTACCCGCATGTGCACACATAACTGTAGCGTCAGGCGCAGGCGCAGGCGCAGGCACTTCATCATCTTGCCCCATTCCCATTTCCATTCCCGGTCCAAATCCAAATCGTTAAGTGTTTCGGCCACATCAACAGCGACACAACAACAACAAACAACAACAAACAAAACAAACAGCAACAAAAACTAGACTCCTTAGAGACTAGCGGCGACTATTGCTAACCCAGCAGCAGCAGCCACTGAGGACTGAGTGCGCTCACCTTCCTCGTTGCCCAGCTGATAGACGAGCTCCTTGGCACGCATCGGTATGTCAAGCTTCTCCAGCATGACACCTTTAATGTGCTGCGTCCAGACACGCTTCTGGTCACGATTCCTGGCCGTCAGCTTGATTTGATTGCGCGGCTCATCGAAGGGTATGACGTAGAAGCTGGTCGGCTCCCCGGGCAAGTGTTCGCTCAGCATCAGATTGTTTTGCTGTGGGTGGGAGAAGAGGGTGGGTTCACATACTGGTGGCAGTGCCAAAAGGAGGCCGGTCCACTCACGTGTATGTAGGTCTTGAACTGCAGACGCCCGTCCTCCTTCTGCTTGGTGATGATCAGCATGGTGGCGAAGAGCAGCACCAGACGCGGCTTGTTGTGCTGCTCCATTAGGAGGCCCTCCTGGCGCAGTTCCCCCAACACGGTCAGCTCTGGGGATTGCCAAAGTAAAAGTTAGCACTTTTCCTGGATGGGCTCTGCCCTCGCTTGTCTGAGGACTTACCCGGTCCGAGCCAACCGTCCAGTATGCCCGAGAGCTCCTTGACGCGGCTCTGCTGCTCCTGCTTGCGCTTCACCTGGTCAATGTTGTGCGCCACCTGGCGCATGATCGCATACGCCTCGGCCACCTCCTTCACATCGCAGTGCTTGCGCAGGCTCTGTAAATGTCAAAAGAGAGAGAGACAATCAACTGTCAGTCAGTGCCCCCGTTTCCGCTTGCTTCGTACTCACGTCGAGCAGCAGATGGTACTTCAAGATGCGCTGCACCGGCTTCAGCAGATAGGAGCCGAGGGGCAGGCGGTGCTGCAGCATCTTCTGCGTGGAGGCCAGCAGGGAGTTCGTGTGCGTTGCCTGGAGCAGCTTGGTCAGCAGCGAGATGGCTTCCGGGTAGCTGGTGCTGCGGGGGAGCGAATGACATATTCGTAGAGTGAGTGAGTGAATGGCAAAGATTTATGGCGATTCATGTGCGCTGGGAAAGCCAGCGCTTTAGGTCTTCATCAGGCGAACATGAAATTTGACTTTAAAATCAGCTGTGCCAGAGTGGGGAGTGGGACGAGTGGGACGAGTGGGAGGACAGGAGCAGGCCAGCAGACGGATGATATATGCCGCTGTGTCATTCGGGGCGACAAATCAAACTCCAGCCATCAAACTCTGTGCCCTCGCTTGGCTCCAAATTGGCACTGACAGCCCCAACAGCGCAGCAGATCAGCGGCTTTGGTTTGGGGCAAACGTCAGGCGTTTAAATGGAACATGGCGTGCCTGGACTGCCAAAGAGGTTGCTTGCCATCGCCATCGCCATCGTCATCGTCATGCCATGGCATGCCATGCCAGGCTGCTATCGAGATCATGTGGCCGCCGTTACCGTTCTTGGCCGCCATCGTATCATAGATCCAGCAAACACGCCAGCCAGCGATGGTCAAAGCAGTGGCTTGCCCCCCAATCACAGCGAGCGGAAGAGGTCAACTGTGGTCACAGTGGAATCAGACAGAGCGGAGAAGAAGAGCACAAAATAGAACTGGGAGAATGTAGAGGGAACATCCAAATCCCCCCTGCAGGCGGACTCACCAATAGGTTGTATACACATCAAAGCCATCGCGCAGATCTATGAAGCATCTGGCGATCCTGCCCGGCTCCATGCCCGAGTTGATCAGTCGCTGCAGCAGCATCGAGTTGAATTCGTAAATCTCTTCAATGTTGGCAAAGAGTATTTGCAATTCGTTCACGCGCAGACAGGCGCGCTCCTTCCAGTCCAGCAGGTATCTAGGGCAGGGAAAACATTTCCGATTGGTACCCAGGGACACATCACAGGACATAGATAACTCACCCCTTGATGACCTGGCCCAGATCCTCGACAAAGCTGCGCTCCGAGTCAATGATTTCCAGACTGGCCCGCTCCAGGACACTCATGGCCACCGTGTGGTGCGGATGATGCGGATGATGCGGATCCCCCAGCTCGTTCTCGCTCTCGGCCAGACTCTCCACACTGGCCAGGTACGAGGTGGCCGCGTGCTTCCCGTGCAGCAGCTGATCGGAGCCCGAGCTGGAGCTGGACGAGGTGGAGCAGATGGAGGAGGACGACAGCGGGCGGTTGTTGAGCCGTGCCAGCTCGCTGAGGCGGGCGGCAAACTTTGGCTTGATGTCGGTGAGTCGATCCAGGCTCTCCGCGGACAGCTTGTTGGCCTCCTCCAGCTCCGCCAGTTGCTCGGCCGTGGGCAGCTTCAGCGGCACACCCGCGCCCAGGGTCGAGGCCTTGGCACTGAGGCTCTTGGTGCGGGCGTAGGTCAGCAGCGGGGAGCTGCTGATCGTTGATGAACAGGCGGCCGAGGAGCTCCTCACCAGCGGCTTGCTGATCAGCGGCTTGTTTACGGCCTCGATGAGCTCCGCCTTCGGCCCCTCGTTGGCACCCAGATCGGCCAGGGTGAGCCGCTCGATGTGCTGGGTCACCAGGTCAAAGTTAATCGTGTGCACCAGATCCACGGGACTGAGCGGCTCGCTGCACACAAACTCCTTGGGCCGCACAGGCGTGGAGGGCGTGGCTGGCGTGGCTGGCGTGGAGGGTTGGGCGTGCTGCAGCTGGACACTGGTGGCCGCCAGCTGCTCCATCTCGATCAGCTTGATGCTCTGCTGGGAATCGTAGCGGGGAAGCGTCAGTTTGCGCGGGGCGAAGGGGTTGCCCTCAAAGTGGAACGGGGTGCCGGGGACGCTCCTGTTGGTGGGGGTCCTGTCCTCGTCCGAGGGCGTCGCTGGCTGGGGCTTTCGCGCCTTCTCGGAGGCGGCAAAGGTCAGGGAGTTGACGTACTCGTTGCTGGCGTCGAAGGTGGCCACCAGCTCGTGGCCCGCCTGCGTGGACAGCTTGCCCGTGATCTTGGACAGGGGATGTGGGAGAGCTTCAGCTTGGGCGTGGACGTGGCCACCGGCGGATGTCCTCCTCCTCCGCCACTGCTGGTGCTTGTCTTGATGTAGCGTCCCTGCGTGGGACTCCTTTGGGATAGCTGCGGGGATGACTGTTGCTGTTGCGGCTGCTGCTGCTGCTGCTGCAGTGCCTCAATGTCAATGGCGTCCACGGGCTCGGCGTCCGAGTGCGTGATGATGCGGTGCACGTTGGCCGAGAGGATGCGGATATTGTTGCCGCGTCGGCTGCCGCTGGAGGCGAGGCTGCTGTTGCTGCTGCCCAGCTCCTGTCGCCGATGCACCACCAGGCGGCTCAGCTGTGCCCCATCCGGTTCGTCCCGCAGACCGGCCACCACCAGATGCGGGGCACGGACGCTGGCTGCAAGCTGTGAGCCGGAGGCGCTTAGCGAGTAGCTGGCCGATTGATCATCGCTGGTGGAGACGCTCGTGCCGCTCGACGTGGAGCTGTTGCTGCTGCTGCTGTTGCTCCTCTTGGGCGTCGATTCGCCACTCTTGCTGTTGGTCTTGGACTGAACCAGAGGCTGGAGCTGTGCCTGTGCCTGTGCCTGGCTCTTTGTCTCGTGTGTCACAGTGGGAGCTGCCACGCCCGCGCCGGCGGCCAGGCTGTTCGTCAATGTGTCGTAGATGCCCAGCAGCGAAGGTGCCAGCTCTGTGGTGCTACCTGAAACGCAGATCAGAGATTGTTAGTTGCAGTTTGAAGTGCTGAGAGTGGAGAGTGGACTGTGTGGGCTGTGTGTCTAACGCTCGAAACGCTCGAGTCACAGAATACATAATTTTTACGATATTTGCTATAATTTTTGCTGCGTAAAATGAATTATGCCGGGGCACGGGCACCGCCAACAGACGGCTGGCTGATGTATTGAGTTGTTTGGCCCCAGGATGCGGCCGCTCTACGGCTCTCCGGCTCTCCGCTCAGAGGCCGCAGAGTCAGAATGTGGCCATCAGTCAGTCAGCGGCAGGCAGCGGCAGGCAGCGAGCGGGTTCTGGCCACGACCAAGCAGACCAAGTCTGCTGCATAAATAAGTAGGTTGCCCCAACTGGCCAACTGGCTGCCTGCCTGCCTGCCTGGCGGGGCGGCCTGACATGTGAATTGATATGCCAACGCAACATGGCCAAAACCACAGCAGAGCCAGGTAAGAGGCCAGCAACAGGCAACAGGCAACAGACTGCAGGCCATGCAACCAACCATGGCATCCATGGCAACCATGCAACAGGCAATTGGCATGAACATTCCAAAGCCTGCTCATCATTTCTCACAAATGCTTCAATTAATCAAAAGCGCTCACAACTGTGGATTTAATAACATTATCGACAGCACACACACACACACACACACACACACACATGCTCTTGATATATAAATTATAGATCGCGTCAGTCAATAGTCAATAGAGCTTGAAGCAGCTTTAACGATTGCTGTTCCCGTTCCTCTCCTTTCCTCTCCTTTCCTTTGGCAGAGGGGACAAAGGACTGCAAATTGCTGCCCTGCCCTGCCCTGCCCATGGAAATCGGCTCACGATCGTGAATATTCTATAAATAAGAATGGAATTCCTTTGGGATCTCTCTCAGCGCTCAGCGCTCTGCACTCGGCATCCATCTTCATTTGTGGCCTCGGTGGCTGTGATTATCTGTTGGCACATTAAGCTAACAGCCTCTCCCCCCCCTGCACACCCCCCTCCAGCTGGTCTGGAGCAAATCAGCAATTAAGTTTCAAAGACAAAACTTGTGTGTGCCTCGCGGCCCACGTTGCTCGGCTGCTCTGCTACCGGGCAATAGAAATGGCCCAGGCCAAGCCAAGCCAAGCCAAGCCACAACAGGCCAGGCCAGGCCAGAGCTGGTTTCCCAGCTATTTAGAATCTACTCCACTCGTATTAGCATAGCCATAGCCTCCATCCTGCGTGCCACTGCGGCACAGTAGCCGACGGGGCACTTTTTCTTCTAATTGCGAATGGTGTCAATGTGGCTGCAACTCGGACTCGGACTCGCACTCGCACTCGGACTCGGACTTGGACTCGGACTTGGGCTCCATCCAGCGCGAGAGCAGAGACAGGACAGGGCAGGCAAATGTGTTGGCTGTGTTGGCAGCATGTTGGGCAACATTTTGCAACGCCACGAACAACAATTAGTTTGCATGAGTAGTGCCACGCCCACTGACAAACCTGAGAGGCTCTCCTGTCTGGCAGTTTTCGAGTCTGCCCGCCTCATAGCCCGTCTTTTTGGGTACTGGTACCGACTGACGACAAGTCGTAAACATGATTTGTACATTTAATTTTCCATCATTTTGTTTGATTATTTTGCAGGGGCTGCGCTGCGCATGCGTGGGCCGTCGCAGCTACATCCACTCGAACGTAGTCAGGCATCCATGCAGCAGCAGCAGCCAATAGATCGGATTGGGCTGGATTGGAGCGTACTCCTGCCTCCATGGTGACCCAGTTAAATGGCCAGAGCCAGAGCAGAGCGTTTTGCTTAATTGCCGAACCGTGGGCTGCTGTGCCGACAGGTTCTCCTTCTCTCCTCTGTCTCTCTCTCTCTCTGCTGACTCTAATCGCTGCCACTTGCCGGGGGAGCATTTAATTAAAGGCCAACAGCTGTGCCGACTATTTCCAGCTATTTATGGCAAAGCCGTAGTCGAACCGTAGCCGTAGCCGTAGCCCCCAACCGTCTGCTGGGGTATCCATCCACTAATCTGGCCGTCGATCTCCGCCTGAAATATGCAACAAATTCCTCAGCTCAGGCCTGTCGCACGGGCGGGGGAAAACAATGCAGAGTGCGGCTCGGCTCTCTGTCATTTTGCAATTTGCAATTGGAGTAGCCAGCAGCCGGCTCATGGCCAGAAAGGGTGTCAGGGACGTCAGAAACGGAAACAGAAACCGAGTCGGTTTGGTGGAGGGACCGAGGAGGGGTGGCAGCTATGACAATGCGGAGAGGTTGAAGTGTTGTCTGGTTTCATTTTCCAAATCCAAATCCCTTTAATGCCCCAGCGACAAAGTCCAGCCACAGACTGGCTTCAGGTGTCCTGTCCCTGTGCCTGTCCCTGTCCCCGCTCCAGCACGAACCCAACCCAACACCTGGAGCGGAGCGGAGCGGAGCAGCTCTTAAAGCTGGCAATTTATGGCAGAGCTGACACAATTTCATAAGGCCCCAAAGGCGCGCTGGCTAAAGATTACGCGATTGTGGCTAAAAATATCAGCGCAGCGCCCAAAGGTCATCCAGGTCCGTTTCGTACCAGGCAGAAGATGCAGCTTGCAGCTTACAGCTGCGACGGCGGCGGCGACGGTGTTGACAAGATGTTGGCCAGTCGTCTGGGCCTGATTTATAAGCCAAGTGCAAGTCGCAGTCGCAGTCGCAGTCGCGACATTGAATTATGCGCAGCGGCAGGGGAAAGTGCTGTCCGATGGCTATCGGAGCTGGCTGCGGAGCTGCCGCACGGGCACGGGCACCCAAATCGAAATCGAAATTGGAATCGGAATTGGAATCGTTCAAATGCTGCACCTCTCCAGCGGATGACATTTTATTTATGCATTGAGCATCTCTGCCGCCCCACCCACCCTCTGGGACGAACGCCGAACGTCTTGGCCAGCTGTTGATGGCGTTAAATTAATGCGCTTAGTCGCCATCATCATCATCGTCATCGTCGTTGTGTCCAGCGCGGTGTCCGCATATCGTTGTCGTCTGGCAATTGATATTTTAATCGGCATTTCAGTCTGTCTGTGGCTTGGCCTGGCCTGGCCTGGCGCCATCGTTTGTCTGTTGTTTAGGTAAATGCTGGTGGTAGGGGGTGGTGTGGTGTGGGGGCCGGGCCACTGCCTACCATTATCAAGCAACCAACGAAGTGAACTGTGCGCCAGCCACCAGACGTGTCCCAAGCGCTCATGGCTTATGGGCACGCATCATTTTGCAACTGCCAATTAAGTTGTTATTCAATGCGACGACTCGACTCGGGCACCCAGCCACATCTGCACCGATAAGACGCCCAAAGTAAGAGACGAAACCCAACCGAATCGAATCTTTGACGCTGCAAAACGGAAGCAGAATCCACACGCGCAGTGGGGCGGCACAACGTGGCCCACACATGGGCCCTAGGACACATGTGGGTGGGTGGAAAAGTGCTCAGAAAATGGCCAGGAAGTCGTAAAAAACGCGTGGAAAAAGCAAATCCAAACACGATCAATCACGGGGCAGCATTCCAAGAGTTCAATAACTCGCAAACATTGATCTACTCACTAGGAGAATTTCCACGCTCAGAGCGCGGGGGAATCTTTGGATAAAATGTGGCTTATCCTTCCAAGCAGATCTCCTGCATATAATGTTCCCTTTATGATTTCCCATTTATGATTTGTTTGGGGGATTAACCAACGTTTCCGCTTTCCACTGCTTTCCGCCAAAAATAGGCTGGAAATTCTTTTCAAATTGAGCGAATCTTTTCAGACGCAGGAGCATAAAAATGCTGCACGTTGCGACTGCCTCATGGAGTGCGGCATACAGATTTGGATTTTATTTTTAGCCCAGTGAGAGATCCGCTGCCGCCTGTCTGCGCCGTCTGGGCCGTCTGCTTGCCCGCCTGGCCATGGATCAGAGGCACTTAAATGGCACCACCAACACACCACACCACCGACACTCCGGCCACCCCTTCCTGCCAACGCTGAGTGGATGTGGATGTGGATGTGGATGCGCCTGCGATGCTCATCCAGGCCAACGCATTGGCAAACAGCAACTTGGCAACTTTTGCTTTTAGTGCCTGACTCTGGCTGTGGCTCCTTTGGCATTTCTAGCGAAAAGTGAAATCCTTTTAAAGCGGCAGCAAACAAAAATCTAGGAAAATGTCGCCGCCAAAAAGTTATAAATCTTGTTCATATTTGCACGTGAAAGACAGAGCTCTGTGGCACACAGGCACACAGGCACACAGGCACAGCTAGAGCCAGAGTCAGAGCTCGACTCAAACAGAGAGACTCCAGAGCTGGGGGGGGAAGCCATAAATGTCACACGGCCTGGCCAAGAGGCAGGCAGGCAGGCAGACAGACGGACAGGCCTAGCAGACCTGGCATATTAGTTTTCCTCGGAGCGGTGTGCGGCATGGGGGCATGGGGGCATGGCAAAACGTGCTAAATTCCATGGGGCAGACATCCATTAAACAGCACAGGCCCACGAGCAGGCCACGCCGAAACATGCCAAGGCTAAAAAGTGCTAAAATCGCATAAAACATGGCCTGCTGACTGCTGCTGCTGCTGCTGCTGACTGCTGCTGATTCTAAATTAACTTGCAGCAGCGCACAGCACAGCACAGTGGCTCGAGCTGAACCATAAGCAAGAATATAACTATTGGAAATGGGCTTACTTTGACTTGCAATTAGCTGCCTGAATAAGAGTTAAATTTCTTATTTAAATTAGCATTATTAATGCTTTTAATTCTGCTCTTGGGTTCCCAATTATATTTATTCGTGTGTTTGATCTGCAAATGTTCTGCTTCAAGTATTTTGTCAGACATTGGCACACTGTGCCCGGCTCTGTGCTGTCCTGGCATGCGACACTTCACGGGAGGAGCAGCCAGCGCTGTTGCACTTTGCACTCCAGCCCAAGGAGGAGGAGGAGGAGGAGGAGGAGTTGCAGAACTGAAGAACTCCCCACCAAGACGCAACATCTCGTGCATTCGCAATGACGTACT